TGAGGCGTGTGTCTCGATGAACTTGTTGGTTTGGTTGGTGATCGTCGTGTGGACCAGATCATGGTGAGAAAATACTGCTTTTACTGGACCAGAACTGGACCAGAACTGGACCAGAACTGGACCAGACCAATCAGATCAGTGTCGTGTGTGTGATCAGTGTCGTGTGTGATCAGGTCACTGAGACACAGAGACACACACACACACTGAGGACCTTCATATGTCATATGTGTGTGTGTGTGTGTGTCTGTGTGTGTGTGTGTGTGTCTGTGTGTGTCTGTGTGTGTGTGTGTCTGTGTGTGTGTGTGTGTGTGTGTGTGTGTGTCTGTGTGTGTGTGTGTGTGTGTCTGTGTGTGTGTGTGTCTGTGTGTGTGTCTGTGTGTGTGTGTCTGTGTGTGTGTGTGTGTGTGTGTGTGTCTGTGTGTGTGTGTGTGTGTCTGTGTGTGTGTGTGTGTGTCTGTGTGTGTGTGTGTGTGTGTGTGTGTGTGTGTGTGTGTGTCTGTGTGTGTGTGTGTGTGTCTGTGTGTGTGTGTGTGTGTGTGTGTGTGTGTGTGTGTGTGTGTGTGTGTGTCTGTGTGTGTGTGTGTGTGTGTCTGTGTGTGTGTGTGTGTCTGTGTGTGTGTGTGTGTGTGTGTGTGTGTGTGTGTGTGTCTGTGTGTGTGTGTGTGTGTGTGTGTGTGTGTGTGTGTCTGTGTGTGTGTGTGTGTGTGTGTGTGTGTGTGTCTGTGTGTGTGTGTGTGTGTGTGTGTGTGTCTGTGTGTGTGTGTGTGTGTGTGTGTGTCTGTGTGTGTGTGTGTGTGTCTGTGTGTGTCTGTGTGTGTGTGTGTCTGTGTGTGTGTGTGTGTGTGTGTGTGTGTGTCTGTGTGTGTGTGTGTGTGTGTGTGTGTGTGTGTCTGTGTGTGTGTGTGTGTGTGTGTGTGTGTGTGTGTGTGTGTCTGTGTGTGTGTGTGTGTGTGTGTGTGTGTGTGTGTGTGTCTGTGTGTGTGTGTGTCTGTGTGTGTGTGTGTGTGTGTGTGTGTGTCTGTGTGTGTGTGTGTCTGTGTGTGTGTGTGTGTCTGTGTGTGTGTGTGTGTCTGTGTGTGTGTGTCTGTGTGTGTGTGTGTGTCTGTGTGTGTGTGTGTGTGTGTGTGTGTGTCTGTGTGTGTGTGTGTGTGTGTGTGTCTGTGTGTGTGTGTGTGTGTGTGTGTGTGTGTCTGTGTGTGTGTGTGTGTGTCTGTGTGTGTGTGTGTGTGTGTGTGTGTGTGTCTGTGTGTGTGTGTGTGTCTGTGTGTGTGTGTGTGTGTGTGTGTGTGTCTGTGTCTGTGTGTGTGTCTGTGTGTTGTGTCTGTGTGTGTGTGTCTGTGTGTGTGTGTGTGTGTCTGTGTGTGTGTGTGTGTGTCTGTGTGTGTGTGTGTCTGTGTGTGTGTGTGTGTGTCTGTGTGTGTGTGTGTGTGTGTGTGTGTGTGTGTGTGTGTGTGTGTGTGTCTGTGTGTGTGTGTGTGTGTGTGTGTGTCTGTGTGTGTGTGTGTGTGTGTGTGTGTGTGTGTGTGTGTGTGTGTGTCTGTGTGTGTGTGTGTGTGTGTGTGTGTGTGTGTGTGTGTGTCTGTGTGTGTGTGTGTGTGTGTCGTGTGTGTGTGTGTGTGTCTGTGTGTGTGTGTGTGTCTGTGTGTGTGTGTGTGTCTGTGTGTGTGTGTGTGTGTGTGTGTGTGTGTGTGTCTGTGTGTGTGTGTGTCGTGTGTGTGTGTGTGTGTGTGTGTTGGTCTGGACTGTCCAGGGTTCATTGATTTTTTACTCATTTTAAATAAGGGACCTGTCACACGGGGAGGGACCTGTCACACGGGGAGGGACCTGTCACACGGGGAGGACCTGTCACATGGGGAGGACCTGTCACACGGGGAGGACCTGTCACACGGGGAGGGACCTGTTGTCACACGGGGAGGGACCTGTCACACGGGGAGGACCTGTCACACACGGGGAGGGACCTGTCACACGGGGAGGACCTGTCACACGGGGAGACCTGTCACACGGGGAGGACCTGTGTCACACGGGGAGGGACCTGTCACACGGGGGGACCTGTCACACGGGGAGGACCTGTCACACGGGGAGGGACCTGTCACACGGGAGGGACCTGTCACACGGGGAGGACCTGTCACACGGGGAGGGACACGGACCTGTCACACGGGAGGACCTGTCACACGGGGAGGACCTGTCACACGGGGAGGACCTGTCACACGGGGAGGGACCTGTCACACGGGGAGGACCTGTCACACGGGGAGGACCTGTCACACGGGGAGGACCTGTCACACGGGGAGGACCTGTCACACGGGGAGGGACCTGTCACACGGGGAGGACCTGTCACACGGGGAGGACCTGTCACACGGGGAGGGACCTGTCACACGGGGAGGACCTGTCACACGGGGAGGACCTGTCACACGGGGAGGGACCTGTCACACGGGGAGGACCTGTCACACGGGGAGGGACCTGTCACACGGGGAGGACCTGTCACACGGGGGGGACCTGTCACACGGGGAGGTTGTGTGTCTTTTGTTTGATTTGTGGTTTTGAGGCGTGTGTCTCGATGAACTTGTTGGTTTGGTTGGTGATCGTCGTGTGGACCAGATCATGGTGAGAAAATACTGCTTTTACTGGACCAGAACTGGACCAGAACTGGACCAGAACTGGACCAGAACTGGACCAGAACTGGACAAGACCAAGCCCAAATGTAAAAAAAAAGTCCAGAGTTGGTCTAGATTAGAACTGGAGCAGAAGTAGACCAGGACTAAACCAGGACTGGACCAGGCCCTGTTACAGCTGCTGTTGTTTTTCAGAATAATACAAATGAGGAGGGGTTTGATCCTGGAGCAGGAGGAACAGAAGGAGGAGCAGGAGGAGCAGGAGGAGCAGGAGGAGGAGCAGGAGGAGCAGGAGGAGGAGCAGGAGCAGCAGGAGGAGCAGGAGGAGCAGGAGGGAGCAGGAGCGGCAGGAGCAGCAGGAGGAGGAGCATGGTGGGCTGCTGGGGTCGGTTTGGCAGCGTCAGCTACACTGGGATTCCTGTGTGAGTGTCAACTGTTCTAGAATAAAGCACTTGAAGGTTGATTCATGCTCTAAACCTTCTGTGGACTAGAGGAGGTTCTGTTGTGGTTCTGTTGTGGTTCTGTAGATTAGAGGAGGTTCTGTCAGTATTTTGACTTTGTTGATTGATGACATTTTGAGTTTAAGTTCACAAATGTTAAAATCGTCTCAAACTCTTCCAGTTCAGACGCAGCAGTTCCTCCAGAGTTTGTTCTACCTGCAGTGTTTCTGTTTCAGGGTGGAACAGGAAACGTGCCGCAGAAAACCAAGAGATGAAGATTCAGATCAGCAGAGCCCAGAGGAACATCACATACATGCGGAATATTGATTTATTTGATACTGCTTCCACTTCGTTAAGTCTATCTGAAAAGGAAAAAGAAAAGGCACAGAAAGATGTTTTTAATAACAGATTAGTTGCATTGGCTTTGAGAGAGTTGGATGAGCTGGAGGATCTTCTGGTGCAGCGACAGCACCTTTACTGCAGCTACTTCAAGGATAAATCCAAAATACCAGAGCTGGAGGAGAAGATGAAACCACTGTATACGTCTGAGGAGATGAGGCAGGACTTTGAGAAGGTTCTGGAGGAGGACCGTGCGTGTGGATTCTGTCTGAAGTACCTGTGGACCGGAGACAAGAGGAGGAACGGGAAGCAGATGTGGAACATTCTGGAGAAGTGGAGGAATAAATTAAAAGAATCACATAAGGAAGAGGGATTTGAAAATGTCAGTAAATATGCTGTTCTATATGTTTAAACCTTCTGAGTTGGTTTTGATTGATTGTTTTTTTTTTACAGTTGCTTGATTATGACTTATTTGCCGAGATAAACAAAACAGACCAGAGAAAAGCCAAAGCAGCAGGCTCCACCTGAGCTCCTGCCCACAGTGAGGCGGTTTCCAGAGCCTGTCCCTGTCAGGGACCTGTCCCTGCCGGCGGCCTGTCCCTGCCGGCGGCCTGTCCCTGCCGGCGGCCTGTCCCTGCCGGCGGCCTGTCCCTGCCGGCGGTGTGTTTTCCTGTTGATGGAGCGTTACTAAATAAAGATTTGAACATAAAAACTCTTCATGTTGTTATGTTTGTGCTGAACCTGCTGAAGTCGTTGGATACTGGACATTTGTACAGAAGCCGAGAGGGTCACAACAAACGCAAACGCCGCAACAAATACAAATGCAAAAACACAACAAAAAGCCACAACAGAAATGACTGCAGGACTCTATTTTAATGAAAAAGCCACAACACAAATGCAAAAGCCACAACACATTAAAAAGCCACAACACATTAAAAAGCCACAACAGAAGTGACCGCGGGACTCTATTTTCCGACAGACCGATCAAGCGGCAAGTGAAGAAGAAGAACTACAGTGTGAAAAGTAAAGGAACGGAGAAGTTGGAAACGTAAGTGAAAGTAATTTATTGTTTTATCATTATTCATTTCACGTTGTAGTTCTTCTTCTTCACTTGCTGCTTGATCGGTCCGACGGAAAATAGAGTCCCACGGTCACTTCCATTGTGGCTTTTTAATGTGTTGTGGCTTTTTAATGTGTTATGGCTTCTTGTCGTGTTGTGGCTTTTTGTCGTGTTGTCGCATTTGTATTTGTTGCGGCGTTTGCGTTTGTTGTGACCCTCTCGTCTTCTGTATTTGAGTCACTGACAAACTAAACTAATATAATTCTGAGTCAATAACAGCTTTTGTCTGAGATCGTGGACTGGAGTCTGAGGGGGCGGGGCGTGAGGCTCGGGGGGCGGGGTTTGTGTTTTGGGGGCGGGGCGTGAGGCTCAGGGGGGCGGGGTCTGTGCTGCAGCTGTTCTGTTGTTCTGACTCTGAGCTAACGGCTAACGGCTAACGACCCGCAGACGTCGGAGCTCGGAGCGCCGGAGCTGCGTCTGAAAACCCGCGGCTCCGCTCCACACACGGGCCCGGGACTGTGAGCCCTCCCCCGGGACTCTCTCCGGGGCTGTTCGGCCTCGGGACTCCGGGTTTAGACCTCAGTCCTGCGGCTTTGGTCCGAGCAGCAGAGCGTTAGCATCGGGCTAGCAGCGTTAGCATGTCGTTAGCATGTCGTTAGCTTGTCGTTAGCGTCTTTATTGTTTTGATTCGAGTTTGTTTTGGAGTTTCAGCGCGTTTCGCTTTTACGCGCTTCGGTCCTGGAGATAAACGTGTCCGGGCTTCAGCTGCGGCGGATTCTGTTGTTGTTTATTTGTTTTTTTGTCTTTAAAACTAAAATAGTATTTATTTTCACAATAAGCTAAGCTAACGTTAGCGCTGTCCGGGTTCATCAGACTCTGGGAGTTTGTCCCTGAGTCCAGCCTCGGTCTGGGCTTTGGCTTTTGGTCTGGTCTTGGTCCTGGTCTTTGGTCTTGGTCCTGGTCTTTGGTCTTGGTCCTGGTTTACTTCAGTCTCTTGAGCTTCAGGTGACAGGAGTTGGAGTTTGTTGCTCAGGTTCTTCATTTGTTCTCAGACTCTGTGTTTAATGTTTAATGTTTGTTGTGTTTATCAGCGCGTTTCTACAAAACTTATTTATTGAATTTATTTATTTATTGAATATTGAGTGAATTTAGTGTCGAGTTTATTTCATTGAGCTGCACATTCAGCTTTAGTGCTTCACTGGGATTATGTGTTATTACTGAACCCGGTACAGAACCCACAGGCCCGTTAGTCCCGGTACAGAACCCACAGGCCCGTTAGTCCCGGCACAGAACCCACAGGCCCGTTAGTCCCGGTACAGAGCCGGTTCAGATCCGTCTCTTGTCGTGTTCTGGAGGATCTTTCCCGGTGTCCTGATGTTCTGGTCCTTCTCTGTCTGATGCCTCTGGACTCTCCTCCTCCTCTTCATCACTGAACCATGTCTGTGACGACAGGGCTTCACCTGACGCTCCACCTGCTCCTGCTCCTCCCAGGTGAGACACACACCTGACCTCTGACCTGAGCCTAAACGCCCCTGAGGACGTGAGTGATGGAAGAAGTTGAGGTTTAACTCGGAGCTGTTCTCCTCAGATGTTCCTCATGTTCTAGTGGTTTGTTGTGGTTTTATCTGGAGTGTTTCATCTTTGGTTCATGTTGGAAGAATCTTTAATCTCTTAGTTTCCACACTCAGGTCACGTCCTCGTCACACTCAGGTCACGTCCTCGTCACACTCAGGTCACGTCCTCGTCACACTCACGTCACGTCCTCGTCACACTCAGGTCACGTCCTCGTCACACTCGCGTCCGTCACGTCCACAGTGTTGCTCCTGTTTCTGTTTGAAGTCGTTTCACATGTGTGTTTCACGTGTGTGTTTCAGGTGCCGCTGCGTCTCCGAGAGACGAGAACGTTTATGTGTCTGGGATCACCAACGGTCAGTCTGCACACGTCACTCACAACTCCTGCTCTAGTCCCCGCTCTAGCCCCCCGCTCTAGCCCCCCGCTCTCGTCCCCCGCTCTAGTCCCCCGCTCTAGTCCGGCTCTAGTCCCCCGCTCTAGCCCCCCGCTCTAGTCCGGCTCTAGTCCCCCGCTCTAGCCCCCCGCTCTAGTCCGGCTCTAGTCCCGGTCTAACCGTGTCCTCTGTGTCCTCTGTGTCCTCTCTGTGTGGTCAGGCTGCAGTGAGACGGTGCAGCTCCGGTCTTCGTCGGGTCTCGTGTCCAGTCCCGGTTGGCCTTTTCAGTATCCGTCTAAAGTGAACTGCAGCTGGAACATCCGAGCTCGTCCCGGAGACACCGTCACCATCAGGTGGGAGGAGCCGCGACCGGCCTTTATTATAATCATGAGTCACAGAGGCCACGCCCCCTGACGCTGTTTTACCCTTCCAGCCCGACGGGATCGTACACCAAACACGAGAACGAGTTTAAATAACACAGAACTTTACAACCACAAAACAAAGGGATTTTATTTCCCCTGAACAGCTCAGAGTCGAGTCTTTTAGAGCAGATTTCCCTCATTCTCCTGCGTCACTCGCTGTGATGACGTCAGGAAAACCAGTGTCCAATAGGAGCTTTGTTTTCGCTCCGTCCATTTTGGTCCAAACTTTACCAAAGAGTGTGTTGAGTCAAAACGGTCGATGTTCTGAGCGTCTGTGTCAGAACAAGTGAAAAAGTCTCTGAAGTGCAGAGATTTGTCACATAAATAAACAGTGACACATGTTGGTCTGTGGAATTGAGCATCTCAGGTTTATTTTTATTTGAGTCCAAATGTTCAAATCCAAATGTAACAAACTCATGGAAACACAGAAGTGACGTGTCTCTGTGACCTGGACCTGACTCCAGCTGTTTCCACAACCTGCACCAGTCAAGTCACGGGGACACGGCACTGTTTTATTTGGACGCAATAAGGAGATTTTTAGTTTATTTACACACTTGATATTTTACAGTTTCTCTGTGTGTGTCTCTGTGTGTGTCTCTGTGTGTGTGTCTGTGTGTGTGTCTGTGTGTGTCTCTGTGTGTGTGTCTCTGTGTGTGTCTCTGTGTCTGTGTCTCTGTGTGTGTC